CTGTGTCACCAAAAATATTGGTTGCAGAGTTGTAAATATATATTAAACCAAGTTGTAAATATATATTAAATATTAAATATATATTAAACCAATTAAACCAAATATATAAAAATATATATATTTATATACTTAATTTTTTTCTCTGCTTGACCTATTGAATGCTGAAAGTAATATGTTGAAATCTCTCAGTGTAGAATTCAAAGAGTCACTGTAAATGAATTTGTCAATCTTCCCTTGCAGGTCAAATAGTTCCTGCTTTTATATTTTAATGCTGTTTTATTAGATACATATGTTTTTAGAATTATTATGTGTTTGTCACAAGTTTAATCTTTTATTACCATCTGATGGCTATCTCAATCCCATAATGCATTATTTCTTAAACTTTATTTTGTCTGAGATGATATAGCCATATGCCAACTTTCTTTTTGTTGGCTATTCCTGGCATATCTTTTTCCATTCTTTTTCATTCAAGCTTTCTGGTTCTTTTTAATGTTTTAATGTTATTTTTCTAAAACAGGATAAAATATGTTTTAAAAAAAATCCACTTTAACTGGCAAATTTTCTCCATTTCTTTATATTCTGATTTCACTGTTATATTTGGATTTATTTTACCATCCCATTTTGTATTTTCTTTTCCATGCCTCAGTTTTTCTTGTTTTTGTGTTTTTTGTGTGTGTGTGGTGTTTTCTTTTGTTGTTGTTGTTGTTTTGTTTTGTTTTTGCTTTCTTTTCTGGTTGCTGTGTACAGGCAAAGTGAAGCACAGGAAATGTATGTGTGTTTAGAATGAACTGCAAAGTAATTTTTAATTCCTGCTGCCAGTCCAACAAAAGAGGTGAAGGGGGACGCCTGGGTGGCTCAGTTGGTTAAGCAGCTGCCTTCGGCTCAGGTCATGATCCCAGCGTCCTGGGATCGAGTCCCACATCCAGCTCCTTGCTCAGCAGGGAGCCTGCTTCTCCCTCTGCCTCTGCCTGCCATTCTGTCTGCCTGTGCTTGCTCTCTCTCCCCCCTCTCTCTCTCTGACAAATAAATAAATAAAATCTTAAAAAAAAAAAAAAAAGAGGTGAAGGTGACAGTAGAGGTTCCCAAAGCTGGACTTCTCAGATGAGTAAAATTTCCCGTAACATGTTGATGATCAGTATAAAGTTGCCAACTTTTTATTTTGCCAAATTAGGAAATTTGTAAAACAACCACAGCCCCAACTATCATCTATCCTCTCCATAATTTTATAAAGAACACTTAAAAACAAACTTCTGTAAAATTGCAAGAAAAAAGGTAGTCTCAATGCGGAGATCATTTGGCGAACTTATCGGACACACACACACACACACACACACACACACACACACACACACACGATGGACATCCGTCTACACTCGTGTGTTCGCTCATTTCACCAGCGTTACGGGACACTTTGGCCTGACCTAACAGGACCCGAGTAGAGGGTGGTGGTGCCGAAGGAAGAGGAGGTTCTGGGCGGAGGCTGCGAGGGGCCCCCGGACCCTCCTCACACTGTGGGTGCCCGGGTGCGGCCAGGAACGGCGGGAGGGGGTGGGTACGCCTGTGGCCGCCACGTGCGCCAAGAACCGGAAGCGGAGCTTCCCCGGGGCAGGAGCGAAGGGGGGGCCCAGCCCGGACCAGGATCCCGGGGCTGATGGTGTTGGGTGCGGGGTCCCTGCCCTTGGATGTTTAGATCCGGATACTTCGGTGGGAAAGCCCCCAAGTCACGGCCTTTAGAAACTCTGCGTCCGTCCGGGGCCCAAGGCGCTCGCGGAAACCTTCGGAACAGCGCGGGTCGGAGGTGGCCTCGCTCTGTGGCTGCTTCAGGGTTTCATGCTGCGGGGCAGGAGCGGACGCGCGATGCCGTGTTTTAAATATTCACAGGAACAGGCTGACGCGGACACACCAACTGGCCAGATCGGGGGGGAAAGTGGGCTGCGCTTCCCGGAGCAAAACCAAGCGAACGCGCGAGCCCACGGGGAGCCTCGGTGTCGGCTCCCCCCAGAGACGCGGCTGCTCTGGTTGCGCGGCGGGTCGGGGGAGCCCGAGGCGGCCCCAGGGGCGAGCCCGAGCCAGCGCGGGGAGCGCCCGGCTTCCCTGGGGCCGCCCCCACCCCCACCCCCGGGTTTTGGGGCACAGGAGGAAGCAGCGCGAACGTTCTCTGCGCTGAACTGACTTGGCAGAGGCCACAGCTCCCGCCTGTCTCTGTGGCGCAATCGGTTAGCGCGTTCGGCTGTTAACCGAAAGGTTGGTGGTTCGAGCCCACCCAGGGACGGGGCCTGAGCGTTTTGAACCCCGGGGTGTGCCTCCCGGGCGGCGGAAGCCGCGGAGGCGCCGACGGTGGGGGGTTCTCACGCTCCCCCCCCCGCGGTCGGTAGCAAGACTTTTGGCGGCTTGAGTCAGGTTCTACGAAAAGGGCCCCGTGAAACTGGTGTTTTCAGAATGTTTGCGAGCAAAGGAGACGCGTCCTGACGAGCCGGAGACGAATTCGGTAGCGCCTCTGAGGCTGCGGGCCTTCGTGCGTGGGTTTCCTGACTCCGGAGACAGGCGCGTCCGGAGCCTGGGCCCTCAGTCCCTCCCGTCCCCCTGCGGACCCGCGTCCGGGGAGGCCGCCTTCCGAGCACCTGTCCGGCCGGCGCCTTCCTCCCGGCCTCGCTGCCTCCCACTGCCTCACCACTCCCCTGTCGGGTCACTGCAGTAACTACCTGACTTTGGGGGGGGTTCCCCTGTCTTCAACGCCCCTCTGCCCTCCTTTCTCCACGCAGCTGCCAGAGCGCCTTCAAACCTGTTGCTAAAACGCAAACCTGTTCTGCTTAAAATCCCCCAGAGCTTGCTCAGCCAGCTGGGCTCTCCTTAGCTGGGAAGGCAGGGCCTCTCGTGATCCCGCCCTGACCTCGCTCCTCTCCCTCCCTGGCTCTCTACCCTCGAAAACAGCGAACCTACTTTCTTGAGTCCGCCTCTGGCTTTTGAACCTCTGCGCAGAGACCTTCGGCGTCTGTCCCCTTTGCCTGGTAAAGCCTTACTCGTCCTTCCGCACTGGGAAACCGAGCCTCTTCTCCGAGCCTGTTCCTCCTTCTCTCCTCCCCGCCTTTCTCCCTGGAACCAAAGCCCCTCCAGGAATGGCTCCGTGTTGTTCATCTCTCCATCTTTGGCACCTAAACCCAAGCTCGGGGCATTAGAGGTACTAAACAGATGTGAGTTGAAGATTTTATTTATTTATTTGAGAGAAAGAGAGTGAGAGAGAGCGAGCGAGCAGGGTGAGGGGCAGAGGGAGAAGCAGACTCCCCGCTGAGTGGAGAGCCTCAGCCAAGGCAGACACCAACCTACTGAACCACCCAGGCACCCTAGATGTGAGTTGGCCGTCTGGGGTTTCCTGATGCACTTGCCTCATGTCTGGATCTCATGTAATATTCAGACATTAAGTTTCAATCGTGTTGGGGTATATAGCTCATAACCCACACAATGAGACTGACCCTATCTATGCCTCTGTCCAGGCCCCTATCTCCTTCCTGGGGGTGCCTTCCCCTGCCCACCACCTGCCGGTAACTGACTCTAAGGGCCACCCACCTGGCCACCCACCTTCCCATCCCGCACCACCCATAAAAGTCCCTTCATCCAGTTGCCTCAGCAACATTGGTGAGTCCACAACTGGTTGGTTCATGTGAGCTGTGCGGATATGATTTCAGTATCCAAACTCATCCCTGATAGATTTTCAGACAACAGGAGGAAAAATGGATTTTACCGTTTGGGTCTTATTATCACGGTTTTTCCTTCTTCAGAGAGCAGCTAGCAAGATCTTGTCCAAAGCTTTATTGGAATCAGGAAATGCTCTGTTGAAAGCTTCTAATACAGAAAGACAGCTAAGCTTTCTCCCACAAGTAACGCTCGTGACCCCACTCCCCAAATCCATAGTCACTGACTGGGGGAGGGATTTCCAAGTTTCAGAGTTCAGCACAGCAGAGTCGAGTACATTTCATATGGTGCATCCAGCATTTGTCAGATGAATAGTGTGAAGCTGGAGGTATATATTAAATACTGAAGCAGAAAGCGGGTGACAGTCCCCTCATCTCCTCTCCCTAATTCCTACTATCCTGGCCCACACATGTCCTCACCCCCGGCCTATTGTCTCCTGAGCAGCTCTCATTGGCTCTTTCCCGTCATGCTTTCTCAGTTCAGACCCAGAGGGATCTCTGTTCATTGAGCTGCTTCTGCGGCAGCGATGTGTCTCTCTTCCCTATGGACACAGTTTGTTCTGTGCTCTCTTTTCCAGGACCCTCCCATCCCTAACCCCATTCTGGGAGCATTTTCTACTCATGCCATTGAGAGCGGTTCATCATTAAGTACTCACACGCCGTCCCAGTTCTGACAGGGGCTCCCCCCAAAAATCAATTCTACATCACCCCTGTGATTTTTCTGTACCTACACCACCGCTCACGTTCTAGGAAGACAGTGCAGGCCGGGGTCTCCCCAGTCGGTCCTGGACTGCCTTGCTCTTTCTCAACCACTCCCTTCGCTGGTTGTGCTGTTCTCCCCTAGACTCTCAACAGCCCCCACAATCTGTCTGGAAGGGGTTTTAGGGTGCCTAGAAGGCAACCCGTCCTGGAGCAACAGATGTAGACCACTACCCAGCTGGTCCTTGGCCATAATTTTCTTATCTCCTTATCCTGTTATTTAAGAACTACTTTCTACATCGGGCCACTGTCCAGAGTTGGCATTGTGGCTTTGCTGTAACAGACCAGTCGGGCGGAGAGAGTATCTGCGTAGCGTTGAGACTTCAAGTCTGAGTACCGTGTCTGCTCGCTGAGGCTTCATGGTTGGCCTCTGAGATCACAGACCTTTCCTTTCTAGCAGAGACCGAGAGAAAATGGAGTTGAGTGGAGGACCCTCAGCCTAGACCCTGAGGTGTGCTTTTCCTGCTGCTCCCAGAGCTGCCTAGTGGGGAGGATGGGATGGTGAATCCAGAAAGAGGCTCAGAGGTGCTGCTTTTACTACCCCCATTTGTCCTAAGGGCCCTGCTTCCAGGAGACTTTGCTGTTTTTCCAGGCCCGCTTTGAGTTATGAAGGTCTCTCTGCATAGCAAAATACAGTCCCGTGTCCACTGCAAATAGGAGTGCCATCACCACGGCGAAAGGGATATGGGGCCAAAATGGGAGGAGTGCTGAGGTGGATGGAACCGGTGGACCTAATGGGAGAAGAAGAGGGGGGAGAAAAATGACAGTTGTTAAGGCAGGAAATTTGGCATCTGTCCAATTCTTTCCTTTTATTTAGTGGTTAAATAAATATAAAGGTCTTTGAATCTTTGGTGTGATCCTAGAGACCCATTAACGCCCCTCCCCTTTCCCCCACTCTGTTACAGTTACTTCATCTGTAAAGGCGATAACCTCATACCGTTGTGGTGAGGGGTCACTGGGATGGTCAAACTGGGTGCGTGGAAAGAGGCACTTAGTACAGTGTCCAGCGCACTGAAAGGTACCCGATAAATGTCGTCTCATCTTTGTTACATTACAGAAAGGGAACTGGAGATTCAGAGAGACTACTGGTTTACCCACTGTCACGTGGTTAATGAACAGCAGAGCCAGGACCCAGTTTCTATGGTCTCTCTGTGAGCATGCGAGGGGCGCCCACCAGGTTGGCTCTTGGCTAGGACTTGAGGCTTGGAGAGGAAGAAGGGCAGGCGAAGATGGGTCAGCACTGTAGGGACATAGAACCTTGTGGACATGGTTTGATCGGGGTAAGGAGGGACAGGTGTACTTATGGGGCAGGAAATGTGGCTTCTGTTCGTGCCAAGTCAACGACAGCCCTCAGAACCCCTTGTCAAAAAAGCCTGTGGAACAGTCCAGAATCTCCTCTCCACTCATCTTCACAGCGCAAATGCAGACTTCCTGCCCAGGGGTCCCAGACCCTCGAGGGCTGCACAGCTCTTACCTTGAATGATGATGTCCACAGCCTCTGAAGACTCATTTTTCTTCCCGATAAGTCCCCTGCAGAAGTAGGAGCCATTATGTTCACTTCTTGCTGCTGGGATGTAGAACTCAGAATTATCATAAGAAAACTTTCTGCCTCTTCTATTCTGGAAGTATTGGACATTCCAGACGGGCTTGTTCTTCCAGCTGTGGCACCTCAGCCGAATGGGGTCCCCCTCCTGGAACACCCGCCGAGGGGTCTGGAGTAACAACCAGCCTGAAAGACACAGAGACCACAGGCCCAGGAGGCTTCAGCGGGAAGGGGACACTCAACACCCAGATCCTAGGGCGTCACAGAGAGCCGGCCTGGGAGCCATCCCTGCAGAGCTCGCTTTGGGAGAATGCCCACGGGACCCTGCAGGAGAACTCACATCACACCAGGACTTTTTGTCTAGTGGGGAAGAGGGATGCACAAATCAAACCATAAAGGTAGGGCAGAGGATCTAAGAGAAGAGGGTCGGGGGAAGCCATCTGCAGGGTCCTTAGGGTTGCCCTGGGGTTTGCTATGACGGTAAGGAGCAGCCACCATAAGTTCTAGGTCAAAGAGTAAAATTTGCATTTGAAAATGATGATTTGTAGAGCACCAAAGGGTGGGTGTCTCGGTTGGTTGAATGTCCAGCTCTTGGATCTGGCTCAGGTCATGACCTCAGGGTCGTGGGATGGAGCCCCACGTCGGGCTCCGTGCTCAGCATGGCTTCTGCTGCAGATTCTCCTCTCTCCCTCTGCCCCTCAACCCATGCACGCACATGCTCTCTTTCTCTCAATAAATAAATAACTTAAAATAAAAAAAAAGAGAGAAAAAATGATGATTTGCTCCACTAAAGGAAAGGTAGAGGGACACCTGGGTGGCTCAGGGGGTTAAGAGTCTGCCTTCGGCTCAGGTCATGATCCCAGGGTCCTGGAATCGAGCCCCACTTCGGGCTCCCTCCTCGGCGGGGAGTCTGCTTCTCCCTCTCCCTCTGCCTGCCACTCCCCCTGCTTGTGCTCTCTCCCTCTCTCTGTCAAATAAATAAATGAAATCCTTTAAAAAAAAATAAAGGAGGGGTAGACTTCAGAAGGAATAGATAGTTGTGGGAATAAGGTCATTGGGTGTCCCCTGAAGTGGCTACAGAAACTGCGAAGCACAACTCAGAATGAAAGTCAAGGAGAGGAAAGAGGGACGTGACCGGTAGTGCTCACGGTAGCTGGTCCTTTCTCAAGGGCCCCAGGGCCTCTGCAAGGCCAGCTTCACCACTGAGCAGAAACTTCAAGACAGAAAATCCTATATCACCAGGACTGTCTTGCCACGTAACCGGAGTTCACCCCTAGAAAACACGAAGTCACGGTCAGGAAGCTGACCAAAATAATGAAAGATGGCATTGCAGATACATTTTTAAATGACACAAGAAAAACATTGACAAGGCAATGCTGAGTTAGAAAGACAGAATACAAGAAACAGAAAAGCAGAGAAAAAAGAAAAAGAAAATGTGCTTACACATTAGTAGGGCTTTTCCCCGAGGGACAGGACTACAAGCCATCTTAGTTTTCTCCCTTTAACTTTTCTATATTTTAGAAATTGAACCCAATTATATTTTAGAAATTTAGAACCCAAATATATTTTAGAAATTGAACCCAGATGACTTTTGTAATAAGAACAGAACAGTAGGGACACTGAGGTGGCTCAGTTAGTTAAGCAGCTGCCTTTGGCTTGGTTCATGATCCCAGGGTCATGATCCCAGGGTCGTGGGATTGAGTCCTGCATCTGGCTCCTGGCTCAGAGGGGAGCCTGCTTCTTCCTCTCCATCTGCTTATGCTCTCTCTATCTCAAATAAGTAAATAAAGTCTTAAAAAAAAAAGACAGTCAAGAATTTCTCCTGGCGAAGTTAATGCTTATAGTCACATCTTAGTACAGTCTCTATTGATGGGACTTCTAAAGCCAGCTTCTACACCAAACTCAGGCAAACTAAGAGCTCTCAGGCTTGATTTTTCTATTGCTTCTTATTGGTAATTCTCCCTTTTATTTGGTCAAAGGTAGCCATGTCTCACCTAGTCAGAGAACACACATTCCTCCCCGTAACTCCATAGCAGGAGGACCGTGTCAGCTACATGGTGGTCAGAGGCTAAGGAGCCATAAGAATCAGCGCCAGAGGCCCAGTTCCATGAAATCCTTTGCAAGCCCACAACCATCAGGGTTCCCCCCTTCTCCTCCAGGTTCCTTCCACCTATACACATCGCGCAACTGAGGCAGCCATTGAAGTAGCATCAGGCTTTTGAGGGGACACTGCGGGTTCTGGGCCAGGTGGTGTGACTCCAGGGACAGCAGACACAGCCTGTGTCTGATACCCTTCCCTCACCTTTTTCTGAGTGGAGAGATTTACAGTGAAGCTTGTTTTTTGTTTGTTTGTTTGTTTAAATAAGAGAGAGACAGAGCAAGAGAGCAAACACAAGCAGGTAGGGGGGCAGAGAGAGAGGGAGAAGCAGGTGCCCCAACTGAGAAGAAAGCCCTATGTGGGTCTTGATCCTGAGGCCCTGGGATCATGACCTGAGCTGAAGGCAGACACCTAGCCAACTGAACCACCCAGGCGCCCCTACACTGAAGTTTTAAGTTTGAGTGTGGCACTGATGTGGCACTGATGGGGACAGAGAGGTGGAAAGGACCTTGGGCTGCCCAGCAGGGTTTGGAGGGTCACTTAGAACACGTGCATCTGAGGGTCAGAAGGAGATGGAGGTCACAAGAACAGATTCATTCATTACTCAATAAATATGAGAGAGCATTAAGGGCACAGCCTGACCTTCAGGTGACGCCATTCCCTGGGGTACATTCTATGGGGACGGTGATTGCGGGGACTGTGCCCTGCAGAGTCCTGGGTCCGTTAGGCGCCAGCTTTGGACATTTGGCCTAAGGCCTGCCTGGGGCTAGGACTTCAATGGTGATGTAAGTCAGGGGGGCCGCAGGTCATCTCATCTCAGTTTTAACCCCCAAGACTCAGCTCTTCTCAAGTCTTCCGTTTTCACCATTTATTGGTGAGTCCCCCCTTCCCCTTCACCCACTCACCCACGAGGACTTCTAGCTGCACGGGGTCACTGAGCTCGGAGAGGCCCGTCTGGCACCTGTACTCGCCGCTGTTTTCAACGCTGGCAGCTTGGATGACGTAGCTGGTCTGACTTGAGATGAGGGTCCCATTGTGCAGCCACCGGGTGGAACGGTTCCCAGAAGGATTGGCCCCCTGGCACTTGAAAGTCACACTGTCGAACGTGAGGACCCTATTGCCTGGAGGGTCCGAGACCACCACAGCCTTTGGGAGGTCCGCTGAGGAGCCAAGAGAGGGTGGGTTAGGGCAGGGAGGGGGGTCTTACACTGGCATTCCCGGGGAGGCTCAGAGCCAGAGTGAGCCCATGTCGGCGACTCTGCCTTGGTCTGTGACTCAGACTTACAGCATCTTGGCTTCAAGGGACTTAGCCCTATTTCTGGCCTCTCACTAACCTGAGGAAAATGAACCAGAGAAGCCTAGGGCCAAGCCCGACTGTACTGGGCAAGTGCCCCCTGACACCCCGAAGCCAGCCGTTTCCCACACGGTGCAGATTTCCCAAAGTTCCACGGCTGTTACACTGCACACCTCCCTCCATCCATCCCAGACCACAGAGCAGACTCACCAGCTTGTGCGCCGGCAGAAACTGCAAGACAAAACAGTGAAACAAATATTGAGCAGAAGCATAGATCAGGCAGCTGGAGTGTGGAAGGAGTGTACGTTGCCCTGCCAGCCCCTGCCCTGAGAGTCCTATGTCACCAAGAATCAAGATATGTATGGCAGCTAGCCTTCCCGCTGCCTGCCTTCTGGTCACCAGTGTCTACGCCTCCTGTCCTCTCTCCACCCACACCCCTGCCTTCAGCACCACTCTGTTCCTCTTCAGTCCCAACTCAAACACCCAAACAAGGCACAGATCGAATTTCCCTGAATCAAGCCAGAGACACTGCCTCAACCCAAGTCCTCCGCAAAGGGTAGAAATCAGAAGTCCTAGAGGGGAACCCAGGGATGTCAGAACAGAAGAGACAGAACTTCGGGACTATCTATCTGGTCCATAGTCTTCAGTGTACAGATAGGGAAACTGAGCCCCAGCAGCATGAAGTAACAGAGACTCCCCAGGCCCCCTTCGCTTTCTGGTTATGCCCAAATCTGAGCCCGAGTTCTTGTCTCTAGGCCCCCAGTAGTTTGTCCTGGGAGCTCCAAGGAGACCGCTCCGTGCCGTGCCGTAAGGGGTCCTATTCCTTGGTAGGGATACCCTCCCTGGCCTGAAAAGTGGGCTCTGCTGAACCAGGGCCTCTGGAGCTTCTCTCTCAGCCCCAGTGACTCTGACTCACCTACAAGCAGCAGAGCCGTTGAGGGCAGCACCTGCCACATGCTGCCGCATCAGAGTGAACGAGTCACCGCAGATACACTGAGCTCTTGAGGGTCACATGCAGCTCCCTTGAAGAGAGGAAGTAAATAGTCTTTCTCCCCACCCCCCAGCTCATTACTCTCTAGGTTCCTTTCCCCAGAATGTCATCTGATTTCTGAACCAGAATTCGGACAAGTGAGCCCCACGATAGGGCAGGAAGGGTAAGAAAAAAGTCTGGTTGAGAAGCCGAGGTGGCGTGTGCGCCCCCCCCCCCCCCCCCCGGTAGGGATTCAGTGACACAGAGTCTGTGAGAATGACTCCTGGTACATCTCAAGGTATTTCCCCCCAACCTATGGATTTGCATCCACTCCACAACAAAAACAAGATATTAGGACCCTGGGGACCAGACTCAAGAGGGGAGAACCTTCACTGAGCGACCTCTGGTTGTACCTCAGAACTTGTCACTGCCTGGACCTGGCTCCATCCAGCCAGCACTCACCTGCATACTTTTAAATCTGCAGATGCCAGAGAGCGTCCCGCCCTCGAGCGTTATCTGCACCAGCATATTTTTCAAAATTCAAAATGCATGTGCCTTGGGATCTGCAATGCACTTCTTAGCATGAATTTGACCACAAGGTTTACATCCTCTGTTAAAGGAAACCCAGGCAGTGGGGGAGGAATAGGGCTCTGGGAGGGGGGGATGTCACCGGTTGCAGGGAAGGCAGGGAAGGAGAAAGGGAGGGAAGGGCAGTGGGGAGGAGAGAGCAGGAGCCCTTTACCTTCAACCCACCGTTACCAGGGCTGAGCTGAGTCACAGCAGCTCAGGTGAGCTCAGCCCTCAGGGACCCACTGGGTCTGGGCTAGCCTGAGCTCTTTGCTGGAGAAGGTGGAGGTGCTGTGACTGGGAACCAGTTCTGTGCTCCCCAGATGCACCCTTCCTCCCAACACATGCACCTCTGTACCCTCCCCCTCCCCACTTTGTTTAAATCTAGGTTGCAGGCAGAAAATCAAAGGGCTCTGCTTGGCTGTGCCACTGCCCCAGTGGGCTCCTGGATAGCAGGGACAGGTCTCACTTGGAAGAGCTTTGGAAATGGCCAGGAGGTAAGCAGCAGACAGATGTGACGTTTGGCAGCGGTAGAGGGGAGGAGGAGCAGGCACAGGTGTCTGCTGACCACTGCTTGGGACCAATGCCCCTGCCCACTCCAAAATCATATCAAAACCACTTCTCAGGATTTCATATTGCTTTGTTTTGCTCCTAGTAGAGATCATTGGTGCACGCCTTAATCTACCCACTTCTGGTAGCAGCCCCTCCCCCATAGTTAGCTGTCTGGTTAGGATCCACTTGGACTGGGAACCAGGCATCCCTTCTAGGGCTCCCTCTTCTTTTTTCTTTTTTCTTTTTCTTTTTTAAAGATTTTACTTATTTATTTGACAGACAGAGATCACAAGTAGGCAGAGAGGCAGGCAGAGAGAGATGGAGAAGCAGGCTATCTGCTGAGCAGAGAGCTCGATGCGGGACTCGATCCTAGTCTGGGATAATGACCTGAGCCGAAGGCAGAGGCCCCAACCCACTGAGTCACCCAGGTGCCCTCTTTTTTTTTTTAAATATTTTATTTATTTATTTGACAGAGAGAGGGAGAGATCACAAGTAGGCAGAGCAGCAGGCAGAGAGTGAGGTGGGAAGCAGGCTCCCTGCTGAGCAGAGAGAGCCTGATGTGGGGCTTGATCCCAGGATCCCTGAGATCATGACCTGAGCCAAAGGCAGAGGCTTTAACCCACTGAGCCACCCAGGTGCCCCTCTAATGCTCCCTATTAAGAGACGCATTTACATCCAGCAAAATCCAGGCCAGCATCTGAAAACGTAAAGCCCCATGCTACAGCACAGGATGCTTCTCTGGGTAACCTAGGCCCGGAGAGTGCCCCCACCCTGGGGCTGAAGGAGGACTCCCCACCCCACCCCTGCACTCTCTGTTCTTCACAGTTCTGCATGGTTTTCTCGCACGTGGCTCGCGGTCCGTGGCATTCCCTTTAGTTTGCCTTCTCTGCAGTTTTATGGTCTCCTCTGACTCATCTTCTGTCTGTGGTCTTCATGTACAGGGAGGAACTGTCAGCTGCAGAGGAAGGAGGGAGCCCCAGGAGGACTGTGAGAGTGGGGAGCACTCTGCAGGTTTTCATAAGGCTTACTGAGCCAGCCTCAGCTTGGGCGTGGGGTGGCAAGGGCTAATTTTATGGGGTAGCTAAAATGCACGGTTTTTAAAGGACAGATGTTCTTGGTCTAGCTCCTCTCTCCTTTCTTTTTTTAAAAGACTTTATTTATTTATTTGTCAGGGAGAGAGCACAACGGCAGGCAGAGGGAGAATCAGGCAGAGGGAAAAGCAGGCTCCCCACTGAGCAAGGAGCCCCAGGTGAGACTGGATCCCAGGACCCCAGGATTATGACCTGAGCCAAAGGCAGATGCTTAACTGACTGAGCCACCCAGGCGCCCTTCTCCTCCCCCTTCTTTTCTCCCCATACTTTCCCTTCAACACTGAAATGCCAGCCACAGCACCAGGTTCTGAGATTACCAGGCCAGTTTTCATCCCTCTGGGACTCACACCTTCGTAGGGGGAGACCAGCAGATAAGCACTTGCAGTGCCATAGGGACTATGAGAGTATTTGCAAAATTCTGTTTGTGCATAAAGAAGGCATCTGTGGGACGGGTCCACTTGGGAGAGAGAACACTTTAATTGGATCACAAAAGACAATTGTATGTTTGGCAGGAAAGTTTTGAGAGAAAGGCATTTCAGGCAAACAGAGAGGCATGAGCAAAGATGGGGTGAAGTAGGCTGGCGTGTTTGCAGAGCTGGGGATAGCTCCACCAGATTAGTGAGAACCACAAAAGAGAAGCACTAGCTAAAGGGTTAAGGATGGGGTGCCTGGGTGGCTCAGTCAGTTGGGCCTCTGCCTTCCGCTCAAGCTCAGGTCATGATCTCAGAGTCCTGGGATTGAGCCCGGCTTTGCTTGGCTCCCTGCTCAGCAGCGAGCCTGCTTCTCCCTCTCCCTCTGCCTGCTGCTCCCCCTGCTTGTGCTCTCTCTCTCTCTCTCCCTCAGATAAATAAAATCTTAAAAAAAAAAAAAAAGAAGTGCAGGCTAGGAGCTGACGGCCTTCCCTGGTGACCCGAATGAAGTTGTGACACCCCCTATCTCCTTACTCCCAAGCTTTGCTTTTCCTTTGTGGTATCGTCAAATTTCAGTAAGGTCTTTGAGGGCAGGGAATCTGTTCCTCTGGTTTATGTTGTATCCCCAGCATTTGGCACAGTGCCTACAACGTACTTGGCACTTAGTATCTACGGAGTGATCATGAAGGACTTTGTATGTCATGGTGAACAGTCGATGCCTTCTTAGATTCTCTCAGAATAATTTTTATAGAATGTAAAAGCAATCACCAACATTTTGAGCTGGGGAATGACATGATCGGTTTTACGTTTTATACAAATTACTCTGCTACCAGTCCAATAAATAAATTGGAGAGGAGAGAGATCAAAGGTGGAGGGAAAAGTTGGGCAGTTATTTTAACAGTGTAGCCAAGAGGGGACTCCCTGTTAAAGAGGTGGAAATGCAACAGAAGCCTCTAAGAGACTTGTGAAGAAAGGAGAAAGGACAGGATTTGGATGAGTGATTGGCTCTGAGTGTCATAGAGAAGGAGGGGTCTGGGCGATGATCTGGTTTGCAGGAGGATGGTGGTACATTTCATGGACATAAGAAGTGAAGGAAGAGGAGCAGGCTTTGAGGGGGAGATAATGATCTTAGCTCTTGACATTATTAAGCTGGAGGTAGTTATGATCTTAGGTGGAGATTCTAAGTAGGCAGTTGGGTATATGACCTGGGAACTCAGAAGGCAGGGCTGGACAAAAGATAAGATTTAGAAGGCATCAACATGCTGTTTTAAACTTTTGATAACAGGTTTAGTCCTTTTCTTAAGAAAAAATGCAAATAAATATACACATAAATTTCCCTATAACTTAAGACATTTCATATGAAGCCCATCCAGAGAACCTAGGTTCAGATATAGTATGGGTAAGATCTCTCTGACTGTCAGACTATTGAGTGAGAAAAAAAGGGGGAGGCCCAGTGAGGGAAGGAAGTAGAGGAGATGGGAGGGAGGGGCAGGAGAAGAAGGGGAGCAATGGCAGAAACTTGGCACACAGCAACTTTTCAGGGTGTGAAAAGGAAGAACAGCTGACAAAGGAGATTGTGTGGGAGGGGTTAGAGAAGAGGGGAGAATAGGGAAGCCCAGGCAGCAGAGACCTTTAAGGAGGCAGAAGTCAATAGTGTTTAAGTGCTATAGAAAGTTCAAGAAGTCCTTTCAACATGGGCTTCTGGGAGCTCTTCCTGACCTTGGCCTGAACAATTCCAGGGGCTGGGGTTGGGGGAGAGAAACTCATAACTTTTGGTTGAAGATTGAACAGAAGTGAGGAAGTGTTTTCATCAATTACTACTATTTCTGAGAATCTCCGTTATGAAGGCATCATGGACCTTTGTTGAGGCTGTCCAGGATCCTTACCCACTGCCCTTCATATCAGCATCTCATTTTCCCTTGAAGAAGCCCCCACTGTGAGTAGTCTTAATAGAAAGTGGTGACTGGTTTCTACTACCTGAGCCAAGTGGGCCAGAGCCCCCTTCCGCCCTGCCTTGGGTCAGTGTAATGTGCTCAACTGTGTTTCTCACGAATCTATATGTTGAGGTTCTAACCCCAAGTACCTCAGAGTGTGACCATATTTGGAGACAGAACCTTGGAAAAGCTGTTAAGTTAAAATAAAGTCATTAGAGTGTGTCCTAATCCAATATGACTGGTGTCGCTACAAGAAGAGCTGTGTGGCGACACAAGGAGAAGATGACCATCTACACGCCAAGGAGAGAGGACTCAGAAAAAACCACCCCTGACAATACCTTGGTTTCAGACTGTTAGCCTCCAGAACTGTGAGAAAATAAATTTTTGTTCTTTTTTTTTTTTAAGATTTTATTTCTTTATTTGAGAGAGAGAATGAGACCAAGAGAAAGAGCATGAGAAGAG